CTATGGCTCATGTTCAAACTGACATCTCGTCGAGAGTCGTAGGAATGTCGTCGACTGATAGATATATGGTACGGGATGGGCTTGATCTCCGTGAAACTCCGGAACCGTAGCAGATCCCATTAGCCAAAAGCTTATCAAGCAACTCCAGCATGGGGAAATTGCCATTCGGGTGATCTTCTAGAAAATCCTCAGTCGCACACGTAAGGACAATGGCAATCCAACGCGTCATGCAAAGATCGACGAATGACAGACGGAGTGGAGATGATGCCATCGACCCGCGGAATTGGTATAACGCTAACGACGGCATCTGCAGGAAGCCTATTCCTTAGACTCCTTATTGGTCTCTGAGTTCCTAAACTAAGGTATGCAGCATCTGGGGTAGAAGGGTCTGTGCTATAATAAGTACTGGGCATACATACGGTATTGATGAGTTGAGAAGATCAATGCCAAGATGCATTCATTCCGCTCGCCTTGGCATACTAGGGGAGAGGTAAGAGGTTCTTGATTTTCTCCGTTTCAAAGTTGGTCATAATAATCAGTATAGATGATACACACGTATGATAGATACAATGTAATACTCCGCCATTCAACATCTCAGTCTGCATTCTCGGCGGCAGAGTATGAGATTCGTCCAAGTTCGGAGCGTCGAATCTTGATTCGGACTCGCAACGAAACGAGAAGCGGTTGCTACATTGTATGTACTCAATGCTGATCTCTCCACACCGTCTCGTCTTCCTTTTTGCACCCTGACGCCAATATACACACTTGCAGAGAAAGTCCTGCTTCGCTACGAGTAGAACATGAAAAGTAGCTCAAGAATACAAGCAACACTGTGAACTACTGTAGCACATGAAATTGATCGAAGAAGTCTTCGACGTGACAATACCAGTAATTGGGATCATGTAACCCAGAATATACCACATTTCAATATAAACTGCCAAGTCCGTCACTAGAAATGAAAGGGCTGAAAAAAAAAGACACCTCAGTGATCTACATTGGAAGTACTAGTGTCTCCTGGCCCAATTGAAAGTAAGGATCATAGAGCCGCCTGAACCAGGCCATACGTGAATGTGTGACAGCATTATGATGCGTGTACCATGTAAATATCATTGGGTGCCTGGCCGATCCTGGGGAACCGGTACATTATCCTGCGAAGCATTGCAAAATATGAAGCCTGTTGATACTGTTGAATGGTAGGAAGTGCATTCGTATGTAAGGATGAAATTGAGCCCAAAAATTGGCACTGGAATTAGGTTACGGGCGCGCATTAGTCTACTGGCCAAAGACGACATAATATTCACCGCAACCTGAGGTTCTGCCGCGCCGAGAAATGTTGTCTTGAAAGGATGGCACATGACCCCTGACCCGAAAGAGAAGAAGCGATGGATATGGAAGCTTCAGCCGTATCGAGTTAGAATGACACATGAATTCCTTTTCCTGTTCATTGTTGAAACCTTTTCCCAACGAAAGCCGGTATGCGCTTGTAACTTTCACGGATCAGCCCGTTTTCTTACAAGGGCCTTAGTCTGTGGCACTAGAACCTGTTAAAGGAGCGACCCAATGAAGTCTCGTGGCGAACCAGCTGACGCGCCTAGTTTAGCGAGTCAGCCTGTGATGTGCCGGGGATCCTTGTCGGAACCGGCCGGGGTGACGTTGAGAAGCCAATGAGAAGCTGCCGTTGTGCCAAGCGTGCCAAGATCTTGGGGAGTCCGGACTAGTGAGAAGGGGGTTTGAGACCCCAGGCCCACTTCGGTTAGTAGCCTGACTAGTTTACCCGTCCTAAACGAACTTCCACTCAACTACTTCAACTTCGAAGGAGCGCGCACAGAACATGACCCAACCCTGATGACACTTCGTACAGGCATTCTCAAATACGTTATCTATGAGGGTGGGGATGGTCAACAGATGAAGCAGAAGGGAGATTGCAAAATGAGATAGAACCTGCGGACTCCGACAACCAGCCGAAAGCTTTCGTGGCGATCTGACCGATCCTTTGGTACTTGCCGGACCGCATTTCTCTGCCGGGAAATTACATCCTTACGCGGCCCTAGTAATCGGCATCTTGTCACAAGGCGCTCGTCCCGTTCATCAACATGTTCCTAAAGAGTATGTCCTACAGAGTACTCCATACTGGGCAAGACAACGCGATCTTGGATACTCTCAATCCTCCACCGCCCATAGTTCTCCAGTGGAATAGAACACGACCAATTTCCTTTACTTGAATCATTGGTCCGAAGTTTATTGCCCCTGCGTTCCAGCTCGTGGGGAATCACACCATCGTCTCCGCTAATGGTTCCATCGCTGCGGTGACATCGATTGTACCACACTTCTTGTAGATCTCCGTCGCTCCTCAATACGTTCATTCATACTCCGTACATCAAGTAATTTTGATTCGGGTACATGTATGTACTGCAATTTAATCTAATTTTTTTTTCTTTTCTCTTATCTTCTTTTTTTTTTTACTTTTATCTTATTCACCCTGAAAACAATATCCGCTCCCCCTTAAGGTTACTTATAACTTGTCTTTCCCTTCTCCGGCTTTCATTCTTTTCCTTTCCCTTCTTCATCCGTCCCACTGCTTTTCTTATTCCGGCCACCAACTCTTTGGCATAGTTTCTTATCATTAGATTAGAGTGTGAGAGAGGTCTCACCAATCATCACTATGGCTACCAAGAAGCCCAACATTCTTTACATCATGGCTGACCAGATGGCTGCTCCCCTTCTGGCCTTCCATGACAAGAACTCTCCCATTAAGACCCCTAACCTAAACCGGCTGGCGGATGAGGGTGTCGTCTTCGACTCGGCCTACTGTAACTCTCCGCTATGTGCCCCGTCACGTTTCGTTATGGTGACCGGCCAATTGCCCTCCAAGATCGGAGCCTACGATAACGCCGCCGACTTACCCGCTGACATCCCCACTTATGCCCATTATCTGCGCCGTGAGGGCTACCACACCGCACTGGCGGGAAAGATGCATTTCTGTGGGCCCGACCAACTGCACGGTTATGAGCAGCGTTTGACGAGTGACATCTACCCCGGTGACTATGGCTGGTCGGTCAACTGGGATGAGCCAGTAAGTTGCATTCCTAGTAGTTCGAACCCAAGGCAAGGGATCTCTGATCGTGTGTAGGAAATTCGTCTCGACTATTATCACAACATGTCCTCTGTCATGGAGGCCGGTCCTGTGGTGCGGACCAACCAGCTTGACTTCGATGAGGAAGTTATCTACAAATCTACCCAGTATCTCTACAACCATGTCCGCCAGCGCGGTGATCAGCCATTCTGTCTGACGGTGTCTATGACTCACCCTCATGACCCTTATGCCATGACCAAGGAATTCTGGGACATGTATGAAGATGTTGACATTCCCTTGCCGAAAAATGGCGACATGCCACAAGACCAGCAGGATCCCCATTCGCAGCGTGTTTTGAAGTGCATTGACTTGTGGGGCAAAGAAATGCCTGAAGAACGGATCAAGGCCGCCCGCCGCGCCTACTATGCGGCTTGTACCTACGTTGATACTAATGTCGGTAAACTGTTGAAGGTCCTGGACGATTGCGGCTTGACCGACGACACAATCATCGTTTTTACTGGTGACCACGGAGACATGTTGGGCGAGCGCGGACTCTGGTACAAGATGGTCTGGTACGAGAACTCCGCGCGTGTGCCCATGATCGTGCATGCGCCCAAACGTTTTGCCGCCAAGCGTGTTCCCCAGAATGTATCGACGATGGACCTGTTGCCCACCTTTGTCGATCTGGTCGGCGCGCAGTTGGTTCGGGAATTGCCCCTGGACGGTGTGTCGTTGATTCCATACCTGACCGGCGAGGACGGTCTCAAAACCGACACTGTATTGGGCGAGTACATGGGTGAAGGGACACAATCGCCAGTTGTGATGATTCGTCGCGGCCGCTGGAAGTTCGTGTACTCCCTGATTGACCCACCCATGCTCTTCGATGTGGAAACAGACCCTGAAGAAAAGGTAAACCTGGCGGCTGGCTTGCCCGTTCCGGTGCGACTCAATGCAGCCAAAACTATCTCAGGATCGCAGTTGCAGCCGGCGTCCTTGCCTACTCCCGCTGAGTCTCCGCGTGTGTCGCCTCGACCACAGCGTGGCACATCGTCCGCATACCCATTCCCTAGTCCCCCACGCACTCCTAGTCCAGGTAAAGGAGTGCCTGAAATGCCGACCACTACCGAGCCTGCCAAGATCCTGGCATACTTCCTGGAAGAAGCACAAGCCCGCTGGGATTTGGAGAGCATCACGGAAGATGTGCTGCGGTCACAGCGCCGGCGACGCCTGGTTTACTCGGCTTTGATCCAGGGCAACCCGGCTATTTGGGACTACGAGCCGCGTATTGACCCCAGCACACAATACGTGCGCAACCAAGGCAAGGGTGTTTTGGACGACGTTGAATTTATCTCTCGCTGGCCCCGTGTGTTGCAGCAAGCCGCCAGTGCTATGGGCACCAAGGTTTGAGTCTCTATTGAACAAGCAGCTCGGGGGAATAAAAAAAAGGAAACGGAAAAGAACATTATTTGAGAACTCGGCATGGTTCTGCTTCCACGTTTATTCATTCTTATTTTTGTTTTTGGTTTTGGATATGTTCCGATGAGCTTGATTTCCTGATGATTTAGTTAGCGAGGCGCTATACCCGGCATTGTTTGCATTCCCAGCGTTTGCTCGAGTCTGTATCGATTGGTGAATGCTTTTTATTCGGGATCTCCGGCAGATTGGTACGGCAGTGCTGTACATAGGAATATAGGAGAGAGGCTGCCTGCGTGTATGATAGACCAGAATGAGCGACAGAATGAATGTACAAGAAAGATACTAAATCTGTGGAGAGAGAAGCGGGTCTCATTACGAATTTCGTTGGTGACTCACCCGGCGATTGGTTCCGTATTTCGGGGTTTGATTGATATCCCATCTTTAAAATCCCCGCATCCACTCTTGGCTTCCTCAACAATCAACAGAGCAAACAAGTCTCCATCTACCAAACATGCCGTCCAAGATCACTGTAGGCGTTGCCCAGGCACGCACCCAGGATACCGTCACCGAGACTCTCTCCGCCCTCAACCGCATCACTCGTCATGCCGCCTCCCGCGGCGTCCATCTGCTCCTCTTCCCTGAGGCCTATCTGGGTGGATACCCACGTACCTGCAGCTTTGGCACTGCCATCGGTGCGCGCCAGCCTCAGGGACGGGAACAGTTCTTGAACTACTTCCATTCCGCGGTGGATCTCGGGGATACCCCCACTGGAGCGGGTGATGACTGGGTGCAGAGGAAGCTGCCCGTGGCGGAGGGCAAGAATCATCGAGGCGACGGTACCCGAGAGACTCTTGAGCGGATTGCGAAGGAGACGGGCGTCTTCATTGTTGTGGGCGTCATCGAGAGAGCCGCGGGCAGTTTGTACTGTGCTGCGCTTTACGTAGACCCTTCGAGGGGAGTGCTGGGAAAGAGGAGAAAGGTCATGCCCGTAAGTCTTACTGCCACGGTTCAATCAAATCCAGAAGAAGAGAAGGTAGTTGACCCCCCCAACAGACCGGATCGGAACGTCTCGTCTGGGCCCAGGGCTCCCCGTCAACCTTGAAGGCCGTGACTACCCATCTCAACGGGGTCCCCGTGACCCTGGCGGCAGCTATCTGCTGGGAGAACTACATGCCCCTTCTCCGACAGAGTCTGTACTCACAGAGCGTGAACATCTATTTGGCTCCTACAGCTGATGCCCGGGACACATGGCTGCCCCTGATGCGGACCGTCGCATTCGAGTCGCGGGCGTATGTACTGAGCGCAAACCAGTGCGTCCGGTATAACGAACTCCCGGAGTGGGTCACTGGCGAACGGGATGAGAGTAAGTTCCTCGTGTTAAACACTTCGTGGTGCAATTTTGTTAATAATAACAACAGAGATCTCGACCCACTACGTCAGCCGCGGTGGTTCCTCCATCGTTGATCCCCAGGGCCAGGTTATTGCGGGTCCTATCTGGGAGGTTTCTGCTGACGATATGTCTGATTCTGCGGCTGATGCCGTGGTAGACGGGCTGATTATCTCGGATATCGATGTCGAGGACTGCGAACGGGGTAGATTGGACATGGATGTGGCAGGCCACTACTCGAGGAATGATGCGTTCAAGTTGACGGTGGAAGGGCTGGATCTCAACCCACCTCCTCTCTGAATGCAAAACGGTATAGCAATTCTAGCTGCATTTACTACATATGCATGATACCTATATAGCTGGAGCTTAAGCTTGTGCATACATGTGTCAATGTTTACCACCGATTGATAAGACGACCCTCCTGGATTGAACCTCGGAAAGTTGATCGAGTGGTAGTACTGTAAACAAGACGTCATTTGTCACATAATGGGTTAAATATTTCGAAGTTTGCGGCATTGTTTATGACGTGTTTGATAGCTGGACTCATGAGCATCTAGAATTGGAGGATTGGCAAGCTCATCTAGTATGCGATGGGCATATCTTTAGCTACTTAGCTATATAGTTACATCATGATATACCATCATATAGTCGCTCGAATAGTAGGCTGAGCTTATAGATAAACATTACCAAGCTAGTCAATCGATACCTTATGATCAGACAGAAAAATGAAAAACCACAGCACGACATCAAAACCGACGTCTGTGTTGTCGGCTCCGGGATAGCGGTATATATCCACGGCCAACGAGCTTGTCACTCGCGGCAAGAGACACCTTGCTCACCTCCTCATCGGCGTGATTTATTGCTCTTTCTCATTCCATTTGTATTTTGATCTGATCACATGTTAAGGTCATAGAAACAAACAATGTACAGCAGTGATACGAGCACTAGCATATCAGCATTTAAAACACATTCGAGTGGATGCAGAAGAGCTTGAATGTCATTCAATTTATAAATTGATAGACCGTGAAAGAATATACTACATACAATGGGCCACTTGAAGTGGGTTTTCGGACTCCAAGTCCTTCCAAGGAACGGCTCTTACCAGTTTGAAATCTTAAACATATATTTTAAGGATGGTACAAACAGGGAACATCTTTTCAAGCAGATAGCACATGAATAACATGTTCTGTGCTCACTGTCTGCCCTTCTAGCTAAATGAATGCTTAGGGCTACGGGACCCAGTGATCTCCTCCAAGTGTGGGGAAATCCAGACTAACCTCGGCTGCCAAACAACTTACCCCATACTCCATCTTCCAACGCCCGTATTTAATCCCTTTCTTCAGGTCACAACTGTGCAACCAGCGATCTGTATATTATACCTTTAAAGAAGTCAAGATGTCGAATGCCTCCAGCTACCCAGCCATTGCCCAACGTAAACAAGCACACCTGGAATCGCAAATCCCAGCAGAATGGAAACTTCCCGCTTCTCAGATACCCTCGGGAATGCTCTCCCTGGAGGATTCTATCACCAATGCTAAACAGTATCAGCGGGTGAATGTCATGAACGTCCCCAGAACATGTGGCTTACTCACAGGTAAGGAATTGGAAATTACCGAGAACTGGGATATTCGGGGTCTCTTGCGAGTCATCGCAGAAAAACGGTACACAACGGAAGACGTGGTCAGAGCTTTCTGCAAGGTATGTTTCCCATTGATTTCCCTTCTAGTTTTACAATTGCGTTCTATGATCAATAGTAACATCATCAGCGCGCGGCAATCGCTCACCAAGTGACCCGCTGCTTGAGCGAACCGCTCTTCGACCGTGCCCTGCAACGGGCCAAAGACCTGGATCGTTATCTCCAGAACAGCGGGAAACCAATCGGCCCCTTGCATGGTCTGCCAGTATCCGTCAAAGATTCTTTCCATGTGAAGGGCGTAGACTCGACCACAGGCATAGTCGCTCTCGCATTCAAACCGGCTACGCAGAACTCGCCTCTAGTAGATCTCCTCGAATCCCTGGGCGCCGTGATAATCGGCAAGACCAATGTTCCCCAGACCATGCACGCTGGACAGCTGCAACCACCTCTTTGGCCGGACCCTGAACCCCCTCAACCGCCAGTGGACCGCGGGCGGCAGCACAGGCGGCGAAGGCGCCTTGATCGCCATGCGGGGATCCATGGTCGGTTTTGGGACGGATATCGGCGGCAGTGTCCGTGTCCCAGCGATGTGTAACGGCATCTACGGTTTCAAGCCCAGTGTCGGCCGTTTCCCCGCCGGAGGCCAGGACGGGGGCCATATACCCGGCAAAGGAAGGGTGTCCCTGCAAGCGGTTGTTGGTCCCCTGGCGCGGTCGGTGGCTGATCTGGGCGCTATCATGGAGGAAGTTGTGCCTCGCGCGGAACTGTTCGGGGAGGATTGTATTCCTGGTCGGTGGCATGGTGAATTCCCTTTCCGGTTGCCCGAGACACAGGCTCGGAATGTTACCATCGGCGTACTTCGCTCGGACGGTATCGTCGAACCCTTGCCGCCTATTGCCAAAGTGTTGGATGAGGTGGCGCAGACACTGCGGAAGACGCCCGGCGTTGAGGTGGTCGAGATCCCTGTGCCGGCGGCGCTAGCCAAATGCCAAGGGCTGGCTGGCAGACTGATGGGTGTAGACGGGGGAGGCCCCATGATGGACTTGCTAGAGAGTACAGGAGAACCGCTGATCCCCTGGCTGCAGGGTCGAATGAAGCGGGGACGGGAATTGACGCTCTCGCAGCTGGGCCAGTTGCAGGCTCAGCGGTCTATCGTCGAACGGGAGCTGCTGAAGATGTGGACTCTCAACAGTGGAACCGGGCGTCGGATTGACGCTATTATCCATCCAGTGGCCCCGCATCCAGTTCCTGAGATTGACCGCTATAATGCTGTGGGATACACGTCTAGCTTTGTCTTGCTAGATTACCCTGCGGCCACCATTCCAGTCCGTCCCTTCAGGGAGTCCGATCTCGAGAGCGGAAAGGAAATGGACGCGCCGGTGTTGGGAAGTTGGGATAAGGCAAACCGACAGTTGTGTATGTTGCTCTATCTACCACCTTTGATTATCTTCCATTCTAACGCTGATTCAAACAGGGAATGAGAAAACGGTTGATCGCCGGGTATATCTTGATTCACCGCTGAGTATCCAGGTTGTGACACCTAAGCAGCACGACTATGAGCTGTTCCGAACTATGGAAATCATTGACAGGGCTGTCAGGGTACCGGATACGGAGAAGACAGCAGCCAAGCTGTAGAGCTAGCTCTAAACATATTCATATGTTCAAGTACTTCCAAATATGACGAGACATCAAATACAAACTACATACGCTCGCAAAGTATAGCGATAAAAATTAAGACACCAAAGATTGATTTAGATAGGATTTAAAGCTTTCCCTTCAAGTGGCTTCCACCATCCGTCGCAATGACCGCTCCATTCAGATGGCTGGCAGCCCGACTTCCGAGGAACACGACCAGACCGGCAATATCCTCGGGTCGACCCAGTCTCTTGTTGGGGGAATGGTCCTCGAGCGACTTCAACCCACCCTGGAGATTAATCAGGCCATCGGCCATCTTCGACGGGAAGAAGCCAGGGGCAATGGCATTGCACAGGATATGCCTGGGACCCAGCTCGACAGCCAAGTTCTTGGTCAAATGAATGACCGCCGCCTTGGAAGCAGAGTAGCTAAAAGTGGCGTTCTCCCCGAGACTACCGACGCCCAGCCCAGCAACAGAGCCAGTGACGATGACTCTTGAAGGTTCCTCGCGCGTAGCCTTAACAGTAAGCAGAGGAGCAAACCTGTGCAATAATCATTAGCAACCTCGAACATCCCAAGCCAAAAGACAAAACAAAAAGATGAGTACTCACTTCTGCACCAGATAAAACACACTCTTCACGTTCAAATCCATAACCTTCGAGAACATCTTCTCAGGATGTGTGTCGAACTTCTCGCCCCAGGTAGCCCCCGCATTCGCAAACAGAATGTCCACATGGTCCGTGGTCTTCTTCACTTCCTCAACGAGCCGGTCCAGTTCAGAGATCTTTGAGTTATCGGCCGCCACTGAGATGGCCTGTGCGCCGGGTCTCTTGTTCGGGAGGGCATTGAGGGCCGCAACGGCCTCATCGCAGGCCTGGGCTTTGCGAGATGTGATGTAGACTTTCGAGCAGCCTGCTTGGAGCAATCTATTCTCATACTTCTTGTCAGCGAAATGTGGGTTTGGCGGGTGAAGGAATGGGATGCGCACCCGCTGGCAGCGTGTAGGCCTAGACCTCTAGAGCCGCCGGTTACGACGGCAACTTTACCCTCGAGGGAGAAGATGGAGCCGAAGTTGTCGAGCTGGACTTGGTCGGCGACGGACATTTTTGATATGTAGATGATATTTAAGATGGTGTTAAGGGCCGGGGATGGGATGGTATGGAATTGAGTAGGGATTGGGAGGGACTGAGCTTAAAGTCATGGTGGAGGTGAATTGGGGTACAAGCAAGATACCGAGGTCGTTCGGGCCAGCCGTTTGGATTCCCCCGCAAGTCAATTTATGAACTCGGCTGATTAATAATCACTGTATTTCCTGGTTATGTAACTTATGTTGAGTTAGCCCTAACTCTGGTTCTCTGTCATAGTTGACGTCCAGGACTGTAGATAGATTCAATTCTCAATGACCATTCTCCTCACTCATGTCACTTCGTTCAGTTCCTCAGACTGTTGGTCTATCTTTCATATGTCTGGTGTTGCGAGTTTGACATGTAGACGAAAGAGCTATCCGGATTACAATATAACTCCACCTTGCTAAATCTGGAGACTCATTTCAAGTTGTCAACCTTGTCAGTGATTTATAAGAAGTCAGAAGCATTATACACTACGATCCCTACAGCTTGAAAGAAAATGGTGTCTGCGAGTTGCCCGTGCATTATGTTTCTGGTGGGGCTATAGCATTGGTTCGTGCTTCATGGCTGACATGTTGTCAAGCACTGATAAACTACTACGGTCCAACCTATAAAGACACATTTGATCCACACATAACCAGTTCAGCTGGTCCCATTTGTAATCCACATGCACCTGCGAATCACATAGACGACAGCAAGAATGTGCTCAATCGAGCGCCAAAGGTCCCCCGAATCCCCTCAAACTCGCTCATAGTGACAACCCGCCGACATGATTGGCCGGATCAAGGTACCTTGGGGGTCCAGCATCCATACTACTAGTAGTACTTACTAGTATCTGTCAGGTAGGCATATATTCTCCCTTAGTTGTCATGACAGAAATCCCTTCCAACCCCTCTTCTCCTCCCTCGTCGTCACCTTCTCATCTTTCACAACACATCCTCTCGAAACCTCACCAAGCAAACCACCCAAAATGGCCACTACATTCTCCCTCCCACCTCTCCCCTACGCTTACGACGTAAACCCCCTCTAATCCCCAGTATATTAGAAAGAAAAACTAACCAAATCCTTAGGCCCTGGAACCCGTCATCTGCAAACAGATCATGGAAATCCACCACCAAAAACACCACCAAACCTACATCACCAACCTCAACGCCGCCCTCTCCGCACAATCCACTGCCCTTGCAGCAAACAACATCCCCGAGCTCATCAACCTCCAGCAGAAGATCAAGTTCAACGGCGGCGGCCACATCAACCACTCCCTCTTCTGGAAGAACCTGGCCCCCCACGACAGCCCCGAGACCGATATCGACCAGGCCGCCCCCGCCCTGAAAGCCGCCATCGAGGCGCAGTACGGCTCCGTGCAGAAGTTCAAGGAGGCCTTTGCCGCCGTGCTCCTCGGTCTGCAGGGCAGCGGTTGGGGCTGGTTGGTGGCTAATGGGCCCGGGGGGAAGTTGGAAATCGTCTCCACTAAGGATCAGGATCCGATCACGGATAAGATCCCGGTGTTTGGGGTGGATATGTGGGAGCATGCTTATTATTTGCAGGTTTGTTTCTTTTTCTTTCTTTCTTGTGGTAAAAGGGGGGTGGCTGACACGGGTTTAGTACTTCAATAACAAGGCCTCGTATGTAGAGGGTATCTGGAAGGTCCTCAACTGGCGCACTGCAGAGGACAGATTCAAGAATGGCGTGGAGGGCTCTGCGCTTCTCAAGCTGTAGATCAGTCTGCCAAGGCCTTTCCTTTTCATACATAAGTAGATGAACATGAATACGAATATAAATGAAATCATAAAATCACAAACTCCCCAAAAACGGACAATATCAACTATCCCAAAACACCATCAACTCCAATCCAATCCAATCCACAACACCCATACAAGCAAAAGCGAAAAAAAATCCTCAATCAATCAAACCCCACAATCCCCGTCCCAACCCCCACGGACGACTGGCCCTCAACCATCACCGTGACCTGTCGTCCAACGATGCCCGTCTCCGACACCCCCAGATCCAGTCTCTCCGGTAGCTCGAACTCCATCTCGGCACGATCCTTCCCACACGGCTGTAACCGGAACTGGTGCAGTGGGGGGGTCATATGTGCTGATGTGAGATCTCCATATCGTCTGAGTTATATCAATGTTAGTATCAGGGGTCTATTCCATCGAACAAACAAATAGCACAGTCTAGCGTCACTCTCCCTCCCCATGATCTGATCCAGGTATACAAGTAGTATACCAGGTAATATACAAGGTAGTATACAAGCCCAACAAAAAAGAAAGAAAAATAAAGAAGGGAAAAGAACATACTCAATCCGCAAATCAATCCCCCTACACCCCCTGAAAACATCAAAAGTGCTCGCGTCCTCAATGCGAAAGACGGCTTTAGTCCCAGCGTCCATTTCTCGGAAGAATAGAGAATACGGACTCATGGATTTGGAGCTGGCGGAGGGAAACATGACGGCGATGCGGTGGCCGGTGCTGGGGCGGGCGATTCCGCACATGGTTCTGTATAGTATGTTATGGGGTCGGGTTTAGGGTTATCTGTCTTTAAGGTATGGATACTAGATTGTTGTGGTGGTTTGTATGGTAGAGAGAGATAGATCTGAGTATGTGTTGAATATGTCTTTTTTCAACTTTACTACTGCGAATTACTCTTGTTCTATATAAGTAGTAAACCCCCTTGGACAGTCCCCAAGGTGTTCTGTTGTACTCGGTGGCCGTCCCAAAGGTGCTCAAATCTGCGCAAATCCGCGACGGATAATGTGGGGCGCCTTGGTCTGGCCGATCACGACCGCCAGGAATTCTGTGGGGTTGAGTTGATTGTCGGAGTGGTTTTGAGGGCATTATTTTGTGTTCTGGGTTTTATCAATGGTGTTTTCTTTTTTGTAGGTCTGGAATTGTTGAAGATAAAGCGTGGCTGTTTCCAAGGGGAGTGTGTGGTACGTTTTGTCGGTCTTGGGTGGATAATGGACATACCAGTATCCGTGCCTATGTATGTATGTACTTGCTTTGCTATTGTTCGGAGTGGGTATGTTTTTGAGTGTCTGTGGAATTTCAAGTGTCGATTATATTAGCGGTCAAGTCAGAGCCACCCCTGAAAGATTACTTTCTCTAGTACTCGTAGTTCTGGCGGTGATTGCTGTAATCAGTGTGGCGCTTTCGTAGTCAGGATCGTGGATCCTATGTCTAAGGTGTGGGAAAGTCACATAAGAATCTAGCCACGTTGATAAAAGAGAGTACTCTACACAAAGCTGTATTGGACATATAGTAGAGATACAACACGTAAACTTCAGTGATTAACTATATCAATACCGGATAGCCTGCTATATACAACTACGCCGCCGCCACCCTAACAGGGTGCGCCTCGGTGTTGTAGACAAACTTGTTGCCCTTACCGCGCTGGACTTGCCACTCGTTTTCTGCTTCCGTTAGATTATGCTTGTTGTATTCGGTCAGATCAAGACTTACCAGGAGCAAAGGTCAGGTACACGTATTTCAACACCTCAGCAAAGAGGAAACTCTCCTGGTTATCGTACCGGCTTCCACCGTCCTTAGCGTTGACGTTGGTCAGGCCCGCGAACCCGGAGCCGGTGCGGCAGTATTTGTTGATAGCGACAAACGCGTTCCATACCCACTCACGGTACTAATCTGGTGTTAGTGCAGGCTCAAAAATATCATGGGCTCTGGAGGACATACAATTTCCTGGCCAGTAATACGCCAGGCGTAGTAGAAACTCTCAATCACCTCCGGACGAAGAATATAGGCGCCACTGCTAATATAGAAGCCGGCACGCTCGTACAGCTCCTTCTGGTCCGATGGTACGTTCTTAGGATCCCATCCGAAGCTCTCGGGTCCGATACCAGTCAGGGTTTGATTGTACGTCTCGTGGCATCCCTTCACCAAGTCCAGACCAAATTGGATAAAGTCGTCGCGATCCAGGACGGTTCCGCCAAGCAAGAAACTGCCGCCATCAAAGCAAGTAAGGTGCTGGGAGCTCAAGCCAAGTTGGCCTTCGTTGTATGACGCTAGGAAAGTCAGGTCCGGGCGAGTCGACGGATGTGACGCCAAATGTTTGATGCTTGATTCCGCCGCTTTAACCCAGCGATCTCCGTAGGTGCTGAACCTCTTTGGATCATACACGTACATCTTGATCAGGTATTCGTAGAACGAGTCGTCGCCTCCATTCCAGCTCACTAATCCGTCGGTGAACTGTCCGTTGGTGATGTTGATATGGCTTCCAACCAGTCCGTCAAACGGCTCTGCACTCTTTGGTGAGGGGTTGAGCAGATAATTCTCTGCCCTCTGGCTGAGCTCAGCATACTCGGTATCACCCGTCAGGTCTGAGAGCCGGGTCCATTCGAGAACCAATGTACCCGTCACAGCCAGTCCGTTGGTTGCTGCACCATCATTACCGTGCGAAGTAATGTTGATGTTGTTGTAGGGAACGCCGCTAGGAGTGTCAAAGGCGAACTTGAGGACATCCGCCAGGTTTTGCGATTGATCCAAGAGGGCCTGAACCTTATGAGAGTCCTGGACTAGGTCCGAGGCCGGACCCTTCAACAGATCATAACCCGACAGCATGCCACCCAGGTACCGGATTGTTGTCTCAAACAGACTCACTTGGTCGTCAGTCTTAGAGTAGTCAATCGTGGCAATATGGTCCAAGATCTGGTTGACGATAGTGGCATTGCGCATTATAACGGCCGTGGATAGGGCGTCCACGGCGGACGCACCCCAACCGTTCCGCGAATCGCCGACACCGTTTGAGATGGGGTGCAGCTCATCATGTGGGTAAGCATATTGCATGTAACCATCCCAAGCATGTACAAAAGCTTCCTTCACGGCATTTGCACGAGACTCGCTGGAGTTACTTTGTGCCACGCGCTGGTCAATTTTGAGCTGGGGAAAGGCTAGAGAAGGAGTGACAAGGCTCAAAGCCGTGAGAGGCAATGAGAGGGACGAAAAATGCATGATGAAGGTAGTAATTAGCAATAAGATTAGCGATAAGGAGTGTAGGTTATCTCTGTATGAATCAAAGGAATGACAGCCTAATCAGGTAGGCGGACGTTTCTCGAGATATATACCAGTCGAATTGACGAAAGAGTGGAATCAATTCGACATGGAAACGAATGTAAGAGAGCAACAAAGAGGGTGTGGTGAGAGAAAGACAAGAGGCAGAAAGGAGGGAGAGCAGGAGAGAAGGGAGTTCATGTGTCGCGTGGAGTCACGAATGATCATATTTTTAAATTACAGATTGGCATGGCAAATCAGCCGACCCTTTTGGGTAAGTCATAGGTAGGATCATCCCTCATCTGCCGTACCTACTACATTTTGGGCGGAGAATCAACAGGATAGAGTTCCAGACTATGTTCGGTTACAGGAACCATCGCCTGTTTGGGCGAACTAAGCCAGATCGATCCAGGCCCGCGCCGATCCGGGATCCATGATTGGGTCAAATCGCGTGGATGCTATGCAGGGGAAAAGATTCTCAGCTGCGGCCAAACAGTGAAATGACTAAGGAGTTATTTGACTGAACATAGTCAACATAGTTAATGAAGATGATGATAGTATGTAGCTAGTGCTTCATTGAAGGCTACTCGGTGTATAAGTTGATGGACTTATATATTGGTTATATTAGTCGTTGTTCTTTTACACTTAAAGTATCATCTGTTCGAGTCACTCACCGACGGCAGGTGACTCGCACGTGAGGAATCATAGCACATTGTTTCCTACAACCCGGACGAGGCCGAGAATTTGACCGTGGAACTTAAACTGCGGGGTCACTACACGATGGCCATCGATATGCTTCCTTCATGTCATACTACTAGTACTATCTATGTACTAGTACGTTCAATCTTCATGCTGTGCAGCCCTAGTGGATATACCCTAGCGTCTGCCGAGATTGGACCCGCTTGATTTATAAATAAATGTTCCATCCTCAGATGTCCTCCGTACTTCTCCGTTAACCCGTTTTATCAATTCTATGACTTGTTACTAATACTACTAGCTATCTAACAATTTAAGGGTTTGGACTGTGTATTACGGGATCTCCAAAGTGTCTCTTGTCATATCCGACCAAGGCCCAGCGATTCTTCATCTGGATGATGGGCGTGACACACCCGATGGTCGCGCGACTAGTTGACTAGTGTGGGAAGGGCCCCATATTCTTGCTGCCCAGTGCACACCATGAACCCCAATGAAATCAATTTGTCCACCAAAGGATACACAGAATTCAAGAGCGTGGTTCACAAGTCTGGCACCTCATATACAAACTCGACCCAAATTATGGATAAAAGCAGATCACCTGAAGGACAGGTGGGCGCTTGGAGATCTTTGATCCAACTCGCAACCCTTGAGAGCATGACCCTTTTGTGAGCATACGCGAAAGAAAAGCGAAAGAAAGGCCAAGGATAATCCTTCAACCAGTCCAAATACTAATCAAGCCTGTTGGTGTAATTTCTTCCCACGACATATACTCGAGTTGGGTGTTCTGTTGTGATTTCCATGCGGAGAAACCCCTTGTGTGAGAAAGAATATGACCACGAGGGCATGTTTCTCTGTTCACATTAGGTCTATATGGTCATGCCTCTGGAAAAAGTAGCGGTAGGCTAAGGATATAGATTTTGCCTATACAGTTGCACACAACATTGTCCGCCAATTTTACTAACGACATCCTATTGGTTTTTATGCAAGCACGAGATCAGTAAGTAGGATTACATGGCAGCCATCTCAGAGCTGTGAGGCGCAAGGCTGTAAATTTTATCGAATCCATGCAGTGGTAAAATAAGCCCTTTTTATTTCTTCTTTCTAGTTTTGACCCAAGTCCTCCACACCTAGATTAGTCTCACCAACAATGCCGTGGCAACCAGTGTCGACGAATCGCTATGAGCGCACATTTGACTCACTGGAGAGGTTCTATCGTGGCATTGCAGAGGCCAGTGCCCCGTTGCAAAACCAACATTATCTGATCTCGTATTCCCTTCAACTCCAACATCTAACCCCTGTTAGGGAGGTGCGACAGGAATGGATAGATGTACGAAACTTGGAAGCTGAGGAGCAAGATCGGGGTGGCCTTAATTGAGTGGTGTCCCGTTTTCGCGATGATTCAAAGCTGCCAGATCTATGGATCTATTGACCACCCCTCCCAATTCTAATCCTACTCCAAAGTGTTACAGACAAAGAGGACGTTATGATAGTTCCCGATAAATCTGTTTTATTCATTCGTATGTGACATCTCGCCTTCAAGACATTGGCACTTCAAGAAAACAGGTCGTAAATATGATTAGACAACGGTCATCATGGATGGCTGCCATGTGAACCGGAAAAAGAAAGAAAGGAATTTATGATATGATTTCATAAGACTAGGGCAGAAAAAAGCAAAAGAGAAAGAGAAAGAAAGAAAACATAAAGCTGAGCTCCTATATAGACAAGCTCATACAATTGATCTGAGAGCTCCATATAGTGTCACAAATTCCATCCAATGCTCTGTTTAACCCTGAGATGAAAGACAGATGAATAATGGATGCCATATCTGAAAGTAATGAACAAAGAGAGAACGTAACATTCTTTAGAAGAATCGAAGCCACCTTTAAACTAGATTTTCAGTGTCTAGAACATACCTTGGTTTACTGTTGGTGCTATTCTTAGGGTGAGAAAGAAACTTAGGGCACTGGCACAGATTCAGTCTAGACTAGAACCGCTGTGAAGGCTGCTTATTGTAGTAAAGGTATCCATCCACTGGGCAGACAAAGACTCTTCAAGTTATGGCGTGAATGCTTACTTTATGAATTTCCTACCCAGACTGATATATAATTTACTCTTAGAGCTCAACAACTTATCACACCTTCATCTACACAAATATACTTAACAACTCTACTGGCACTGTTGACTGAGAACACCACTAGGCACATGACTGTCCTCCCTTCTGTTGAATGATATACAGAAATACCGTTGTGCTAGCTGACTGCTAAATCAAAGACTTCCAAAGGTAAGGCCGTTGATATCATTTATACATAAACCATTTTCTCCCTTCCAGAAACCTTTCTTTTCCATCCTCAAGATACCAACTTCTTGAGAGTCCTCTACTTACTGCCACTTTTACTAACAGTTAGCTAAAAATGGCAGACGTAGTTTGCGACATATCTTGGGCCCCAAGTGCTGCATGCTTTAAAGGATGCCTGTGCGCCGTCGAATTCCCACGCCCGATTCCATCCCCATGGACTCTATCATAACACCTCTAGTGCCCACCGGTATAATATCCACTGAGACTGGCGGACTTCTAAGGGCTGGCGGACCAAGGCTCTGCGAACTACCGTACAACAGCCACGACATCCGAATTAGACAAATTCCATTTTATACAATTCAATCTATTATTCAAACATTGAATATCTGTGCTTCTATAGGTTTTGTGGAGTGCACCCCGTGCTATGACGATTCTGCAGAACCGATCCCAACATTGCAGGTCTGTGTAGACCCGCGAAAGAATGAGGCTCGAAAGGACTGGCTCAACGCAGCACAAGAGCTGTACGATCTTCTTTGCAGATACGGCCTCGAATATATAACAGTTGACATTATTGACTGTCGCCTGGAACAAGGCCCCAGCATTTTTATATGCGAACCGACTGATGCAATCTTCTCCAAATGGGACATGGTTCGCCAACACATCCTACACTCTGTTGATGTCTCTGGATTTCAATTGCTAGGCTGCTATCGCATGGGATACGAAACTCGCACTGAGAACTGCAAACCAACTATACTCGTCACGGTTGATCCAGAATGTGAACGAGACTGGGGCATTGCTAAGCAGGAGATCAGGAACATCTTGAACAGCCTCAAACTTGCGGTTGACGTGCAGATTTTCAAAGATCGCAGCATCTTCTGCGCCCGCCGACCGTCGATTCAGAGCGAACTCAACTCACGGCGCCCTGTTCACATGGAGGACTGTCCAAGAGTAGCGACCATTGGACATAGAGTGGGTGCTCATAACAGCGACCGCTACGGCACCTTTGGGGGATGGCTCAATATACGGCAAAAGCCTGACTCTGAATGGGAGCGATTTGGTTTGACCTGTCGCCATTGCATCTTCGACGACCAGTTCGAGGATTTCGTAATACATGACCCCAGAGCTCAAACGCTGGAGCATGTGGGGGACAACAGGCTCAGTCTACCCGAGTCGGCACAAGAGGTCGATTGTCCAAGTTACGGCGAAATCAAAATGTATATCGATGGACTCAAGAAGACTATCTCCGACCTCAAGAAGGAACATCCTTATCCCAGCTTGGAAGAGCTTAGACTGTATAGAGACCCCTTGGATGATCTGTCGGAAGCATGCTGGAAAAGGCTCCGAGCCCCCATCGACGGTTATGAAGGCTGGATTGCGGAGCTAGAGGCCTACTGCGATTCGAATATGCATAGGTTTGGCAAGATTTGGGCACATTCTGGCGACGGCACGCGGAGGACGACCACCGTTATGGACTGGGCCCTTTTGAAGCCCTATCCAACTCGAGCATATCCATCTAATAAAGTGAGTTTCTCTTCCTTTCTATTCGAAGATCGCTGATTAAGGAATTTTTAGTTTGGTGGATTCGCCAACCAACATGATCCAAGGAGTCTGAAAGTCGAAAATGGGTTTATCGAGGACAGTATCGAATTGCATCATTCCGATCTCCTTCACAAGTCCGGTTGTATCACGAATACGACTACCGGCCAATACAACATGCTTGCCACGACAGTTTTTACTGCCACAGCAAATGGACAACTACGCACGACGAATGAGCATTCCGTCATTTGTAAAAAGAAGAAGTCTCATTTTGAGCCTGGGGACTCGGGATCCCTTCTCTTTACCGAATCGGGCGCTATGGTGGGAATGGGCTTCGGGGCACAAGTTGGGGGACAAATTGTTGTTTTCACCCATGTCGACGATCTCATCGCCGACATCAAAAGTCAAACGGGGGTGGATCAGGTCACCTTTTACGCCCAGGAATGGACTGATGAAGTGTGCGAGAAGGATTAACTGTTGTATTATTACTCCATTTCTATCAAATCTCGGCAAATGTATTGGTTTAGTGTCCATCGAACTAGGGTCTCGGCCAATCAGGCCATACTGTTAGGTAAAAGACATCTCCAGGCGAACTATGAATGAATTCATGGAGACAACAACATGGGTGTCACGAATAATGTGAGACGGAGGAACCAAATAAAGTTCTCTTAATAAATAAGGCCTGTTTGACCCGAACTGAACGTTAACCACCATTTTCTTTGTTCCTGAATTTCCAGGCCCCCCCGCCGCCGAAGTGTCCGATTGCGGGGCCGACAAGAATTTCTTTTTCTATGGCGATTGAATGAATCATCCCGCAATCGTCTTGACAGACTCTCTTCCCCATTCCTTCCCTCCGGGGCTTTTAGAATTCCCACCTGCTTTTTCAATTCCTTCCGAATCATCTCCTGAATCAGTCAGTCAACTCTTGTGACTTATCCTGTTCACTATCTTTCTCTCTCCGTCCCATCCCTCTTGCCCCTCCTTCTACCTCCCCTCCTCCCTCATTGAGTCACCACCATGGCGACTCCATTTCTGGTCTCCTTCGACCCTTCGGCCCCTGGCCTCTCACTCAAGCAGATCGCCTACTTCGGCCGTGTTCTAGTCAAGGCTCCAGCGTCGCTCAAGCCGAAGAATTCCTGCGTCAGAACTTCCGTCTGCTGGACGTCTACGTCGATGCCACCGCGATTTCCACCACTGGTGACCTCGTCGATATCCTCAATGCCGGTGCCGCGAAGATCTTCATTACCCTAGACCAATTGACCGCCCTCTCCCAAGAACAGTCCGTTCCCTCGTCACGAGTCGTCGTCTATACTTCGTCCGACAGTCAGGTGGACTCCTTCCAGAAGTGGGTGGCTGAGGATTCCGAGCGTAAGGAAGCCGGTCTCTCGACCGATTCGTCCGCCGTGAAGGCCTTGGTCGACAAATTGGGCCTGAACCCCGAAGCCCAGGGTCTCTACCGGACGTACTCCGGCGCTGTTACTGAGGAAACTTTGAAGGACACCTTGACCCAGGGTGCGGTCAGCATCGTGCCCGCGCAAGCCTTGACTCTGGATCGCAACCAGGCCGATGGCAAGATCGTCGCCGCCTCTCTCATCGCAGCTCGTGCAGTCGCTGATCAGAGCAACGGCCTCTATGCCACCACGGTGACCGACGAGAGAGGAACCTGCTTGGGCCTCGTGTGGAGCAGCGACGAGAGCATTTCCGAAGCGCTGCGCACGGGCACCGGTGTTTACCAGAGCCGTAAGCGGGGCCTGTGGTACAAGGGTCAGTCGAGCGGCGATGTGCAGGAACTGATCCGAGTTGGGTTCGATTGCGACAGCGATTGCTTAGTGTTCGTTGTCAACCAGATCGGTCGAGGCTTCTGCCACCTGGGTACCGCCAGCTGCTTCGGTCCTTACAACGGTCTTTCGCGTCTGCAGAAGACCCTGCAAGCCCGCAAAGCCGATGCCCCCGAAGGTTCCTACACTGCTAGGCTCTTCAACGAGCCCAAGCTCACCCAGGCGAAGATCATGGAAGAAGCCGACGAGCTGTGCCGCGCAAACACCAAGGAAGAGATTGCCTTTGAGGCTGCCGATCTTCTCTATTTTGCTCTGACCCGCTGTGTCGCAGCTGGAGTCAGCCTGGAAGATGTCGAGCGGAACCTGGACCTCAAGAGCCTGAAGGTGAAGAGAAGAAAGGGCGACGCCAAGGGCCCTTGGGCAGAGAAGGCCGGTCTGGCCGCTCCTGCCTCTGCTCCCGCTCCCGCCCCCGCGGCCGTGGAGAAGAGCCAGCCCCCGGCCAAGGAGGACAGCCGCATTGAGATGACTCGTGTCATCACCGCTTCGACCCCGGTGGAGGATGTTAAGGCTTACCTGAAGCGTCCTTCGCAAAAATCCAACGATGCGATTATTGGCCTTGTCCGTCCGATCATCCAGGATGTCCGCGAGCACGGCGATGCCGGTGTTCTCAAGTACACTCACAAATTCGAGAAGGCTACTTCCCTCACCTCTCCCGTTATCAACGCCCCATTCGCTCCGGAATTGATGCAGGTGTCGCCCGAAACAAAGGAGGCGATTGATGTTAGTATTGCCAACATCGCCAAGTTCCACAGTGCACAGAAGGGTAGCAACGACGGCCTCAAGGTCGAGACGATGCCTGGCGTCGTTTGCTCCCGCTTTTCACGAGCCATTGAACGCGTTGGTTTGTACATTCCCGGCGGAACCGCCGTGCTGCCTTCGACCGCCATGATGTTGGGTGTGCCTGCCATGGTTGCTGGCTGCAAGAAGATCGTCCTTGCTTCGCCCCCTCGTGCCGACGGCAGTATCACGCCTGAGATTGTCTACGTTGCTCACAAGGTCGGAGCGGAGAGTATTGTGCTTGCCGGTGGTGCCCAGGCGGTTGCTGCCATGGCGTACGGCACGGAGAGCATCAGCAAGGTTGACAAGATCTTGGGCCCCGGTAATCAGTTCGTGACAGCCGCTAAGATGCTGGTCTCCAACGATACCTCTGCGGGCGTCAGCATTGATATGCCCGCCGGCCCTAGTGAAGTCCTGGTGATTGCAGACAAGGAGGCCAACCCCGCGTTCGTTGCCTCGGATCTGCTGAGCCAGGCCGAACACGGTGTCGACTCCCAAGTCATTCTGATTGCCATTGACCTGAACGAGCAGCAGCTGCAGGCCATCGAAGATGAGGTGGACAAGCAGGCCAGAGCGCTCCCCCGGATGGACATTGTCAAGGGATCTCTGGAGCACTCGGTCACCTTTGTGGTGCGTGACCTTGCCGAGGCGATGGCTCTCAGCAACGAGTATGCTCCAGAGCATCTGATCCTGCAGATTGAGAACGCAGAGGCCGCCGTCGAACAGGTGCAGAACGCTGGAAGTGTCTTCATTGGCCAGTGGACTCCAGAAAGTGTCGGCGACTACTCGGCCGGTGTGAACCACTCTTTGCGTAAGTCTTCATCGCTTCTTTCATTTTCTAAGCACTAGCTAACTCGGATCCAGCAACCTACGGATATGCCAAGCAATACTCGGGCGTGAACCTGGGATCGTTCCTCAAGCACATTACGAGTTCCAACCTGACGGCTGACGGATTGTTGGGCCTGTCGCGCACTGTTGAGCAGTTGGCGGCGGTGGAAGGCTTGGATGCACACAAGCGGGCTGTGAGCATCCGAGTAGCCCACATGAAGGGACAATAGATCCACAGGCCAGGGATATGTGGTGTTTCTTTTCGGCTTTCACGACCTCGACGGTTATGGTAATTTGAATTGTTTACGAATGCTTCCCAGAAGTGGTTTACCAAGATTGAGCAACTTTTAATAGATGAAGAATATCAAATAGCAATGGTATCCTGCAGTAACTCTCTATACAAGTACACGACCCATGTAGAATACTTTTCCCAAGCCATACACCCAGAAACAGCCCAAATGCAAACACAGAAAGAAAGAAAAGAGAGAGAATGTAGAAGGAATCATCAGTCGTATGGTGAGAATGATATCAAATCACTTCTTGCGCTCACGGATCTTCCACTTGATCCCATTTTTGTTCGTCCCTCCGACGGAGTTGTCCATCCTTCCACGCTGCCAATCCAACTGGCGCTCCGCAGCTGTGATATCGTTGTACTGCTTCTGAAGCGCCGCCAGCTTGTTCTGCCTCGCCGCATGAGCACGCTGCTTGAGCTTCCGAGCGCGACGAGCCTCCTGAAGAGCCAGACGATCCGCCTCCAGCTCCCTCGCCGTCTTTTTCCGCTGAAGATCTCCAAACGACTCTTCCCTCTCATCACCCCTCTCCGCTTGCACCCGCTTCATCTTCAAAGCTCTCTGCTCCAGCTTATCATCCGCAAAGACCGTCTTCTTCGGCCCGGCCTCCTCCTCCTCCTCCTCGGACTCGTCATCGAAATCAAAATCAAACCCATCATCATCCTCATCCCGCACGGGCGCCTTCTTCTTCTTCGCCTTCTTCCCCACCAAACTCTGCACCATCCCATCCTGCAACTGAATCTCCTGCTCCAGCTTATCCATCTGCCGCCGAATCCGCTCCCCCGTCGTCCGCAAGTACCCCGCATCCTGCGTCTTCAGCAACTTGATCGCATCGTGACTGAGTCCCGCCGCCGAATCGCGCGCCGCCGTACCGTGCTTGCCCGCCTTCTGCGTGTGCGAAGACATCATCCCGAAGGCGAATTCATCGGGGTTCCGGTCGCGGACCTTTTCCTCCAGACGCTTGAGCTTGGCCTTCTTCTGGTTGTAGTCTTTTGCTCGGAGGGAGTAGTCCTATTTTCCATTTTTATTAGTTTCCAGTTTCTAGAATAGTTAAGTACTCGGCGATAGATAGGTATGTGACATACCTTGTGCTTTTCAAGAATACCCCATTTTTCACGGCCTTGGAGCTGGCCTCGCTCCTTGTGATTCCGTCGTTGGACGGCATTGCGCATCGACGACATCTTGGGTTGGTGTAGTGGCTTTTAATTAACTATTAAGTTTTTTTTGCTTCTGTTTCCGATAAATACCCTGTGTCAACCAGAGTATAAAACTGAAATTATATAAAAAAGAAAAATAAAAGAGGGGTTGTTGTCAAGACCCCGAAACAGTGTCACAAAGAAAAGAGAGAGAAGGAATAAATGGGTTGCAGATAAAAAAAAGTTCTCCGACTCGGCCTAAGCGGAGAAGAACTTCACTTGACACTTCAAGCTCGGTGTGGAACCAACTCAACTCCCACTCTGTCACTTCCTACACTTGTGCCACGCGCCACGATTGTCTTACCGGGCTTCTATTTCCACAAGCTCGAGTAATTGGTCTCCCCCGGGATTGAAATTGGCCGTCAACGCCATTTAACAACTCCTACGATTCATACCTACCTACCTGCCTACGGTCGAGTCGAACGCAGATCATCTCGCGTTACTACTCCGATAGGAACACACCAACACCAACGACACTCCCCCCTCCCCTCGAAGGGATTTGATTCTGTTTTTATTGCCACCGTGTATATACCGCATATCCAACCAGTGTAGAACCGACCAAGATACCAGCATCCATAATGGAGACAACATCCACATCAACGCCCTCGACGGGGACGAAATACAACCTTCGCAATCCCCTCCCCCTCTCCGCACCCCAAGAACAAGAAGTCAAGAAGATCTTTCACAAACGGGTACGAGCGCATTGCGCGGAGGAAATCAAAGGTATATTCTTTCTTTTCTTTTTGATTTGTCTATGTGTATATGTCTTGTGGAGGGGCTGGTTTTGGGCATTCGATACTAATTGGTAATGCAGCGTTCGCTCAATGCGCCGTCAATCGCACGATAACGGCTACCTGGGTGTGTCGCGAGCAGCGGCTGACGATGAACTCGTGTATGCTTGCGCATGCGAAGCCGGAGGAGGAGGACCGCGCCCGCGAGGAGTGGTTTGCGACGTATGAGGAGCGGCGGAGGGAGAGGGATGAGGAGCTGAGGAAGGTGGAGCAGAGGAGGGAGGAGATTATTCGGATGATGAGGGAGGATGAGGCTAGGTCGAAGACGAGGTGATTCTCTTTCTTCATTCTTCTTGTGGATCTCTTTTTGCTTGGGGGTGTCGGTGAGTGGGTGTGACTGTACTATTTATTCTCTGTTCATGTGTGGCTTTGGGTGTGATTTAGGCGTTTTCTTTTTTTTTTACCTGTTTCGCTTTTGCCAGTTTCTGTTGCATTAGGATTGCAAGTCGTATATCATTATGTACAGTAGATCAAGTCTGTTGATATCCTACAGACTCAATGAAAGCAAATCTCCTCCATCAGATCTGTTGTCTGGACTGATAGTATTGACGGTATATAACTTGTTGACCGAGCGCCGAACTCCCAATCGCCAGTCCCATCCATATATTTTCTTTTTTCGAGAGAGAGTAAGAAGAGGGGGAGAAAAAAAGGATTAAACATCCGTCATGTCTTTGTCTCCATCGTCATCTCCATCTCCATCCCCCATAACAGCATCCTCGCCGAAGATATCCTCCATCTTCCCATCTTCATCCTCCTCGCCTCCATCTCCCTCCTCCTCCTCACCACCCGCACCAGCATGATTACTCTCCTTCGGCTCTTCCTCTTCCTCCACTTCTTCCTCCCCTTCACTCTCCCACTCATCCTTCATGTTCCACCCAACACCCGTCAAACAGAACCTCTCCGGCGGCAACCTCATACCCCCCATCAGAACACTCTGGTTCGCCGCGGCTTCGCCTGTCCCTGATCATACCCCCTCGTAGCACCCGGCAGGGCCACGCGATTCCTCTCCGCCGCCACATCCATCAGGAACTCCTTGGGCAACCCAGTCTGGAACTGATAATGCAAGCGCGACGCAATACTCAGCCGCAACGCCGGCAAGCTGACGGTATTCACCTCAGGCGGGCCCCTGGCCGAGCCGGCCTGCTCGCCCACGGCGCCAGCATAGCCCTCCGTCGCGAGATGGACGCGTCCTGCAGGACGCCGGAGGTGTAGCGGTAGGCGAAGTCGAGGAGCTGCAGGGGCACCCGTTCTTGGTATGAGGTGACGCCTAGCGAGGCGAGAAGCATGTGGATGAGACGGACATCTCGGGGGCGACGGGACTTGCCGCTGTCTTTTAGAGAGGTGGAGGGGACTTGTGTGGGTTGTGCGACTGGTGCGCTGGTGGTGGAGGATCCGGTTGCGGGCTGCTGTTGTTGGGACGAGGCGTTGTTGGTGGTGGTGGTGTTGGTGTTGGAGGGCTCGGCTGGGGGTGTGAGGGGTTGGGTTGATGGGGCAGCGGTTTGCGATTGGTTTGGGGAGGCCATTGTCTTGTGTCTTTGCGGTGGTTGTGAGATTGAGTTTAGATGTGAGCGAAGGTTACTTCGGTAGCTATCCCCGTGGGATGTGGTAGAATTTAGTGATCGTGGACGGCGTCACTTATGGCCAAGTCGGCATGGCCACTGTACGTTGGTACCGTGATGGGGTATTAGGAAAGTAAATATTATTCTATGTTCTTCTCGAGAAGGACCGACAAGAAGGTAAAGTGGTGTTGCGGTCAGTGAGTGAGCTGGTGAAGACGCGAAGAACATTGAAGGTCAATGATCCCGATCGGCGCTAGCCCGCTTCTGGTAAGTCAGTGGTAACGGGCCTCCAGCCTATTGATGCCTTTAACTATAGCTTCTCGACCTTTCTCTACTATTCATGTAACCATATTATACGTTTAACACTTCGCTTCACACCAGACAGAATTATGTTTATATATAGTCTAATGGTCTATCTCCGGTTGCAACCATGCAGCGGTCATAGAAAACCGCAGGCCGTCCTGCTGCTTGTATATCACACATGAAACCCGGAAACGCTCAACATATGAAATAAAACAAGAAAATCACCGATGCAGCCTGTTCAACGCCAACTATGCAAAAGAAATAACACACCACAATGCAAGGGCCAATCTCAGATGCCGGAAAGCCATATAAACACAATAGTCAACGCCGGGAGGGGTATCTATGAGCGTTGAAAGCCGCGCATAGTTATTACACTTGTTGTATGTAGGCCCGGTCATTCTCAACGTTTGGGAGAGGGGCTAGCATTAGCAGCCGCGAAGCGACTTGGTTTTGGAGTCACGTTAGGCCCATCGTCTGCGCCTTCGTCGTCCGCTTCATCATCTTCTAGGTGACTCTGACCATCCGCGAGATCAAGTGAGGCAAGTGAGGCCTGCGAGATATAGCTGTCACCAAGGTCTTCCTCGGCATCCTCATCAACCTCACTGCCTTCTTCGTCACTCAGCTCCGCGTCATAATCATCTTCCTCGTCCTCGTCCTCGTCCTCTTCGTCTTCTTCATCCTCACTATCTGAGCTTGAGAAATCGGCTAGCTCTGGTGGAGGTTCACGCCAGTAAGTGAAATCGGTGTACTCTTCACCCCCAGCCTGAACAAGTAGACTAACGGGCGGGAAGAAATGATCCAAGAGCTCCTGCATGGTAACGTAGCTGCTCTTATACTTGTTCAGACTGAGAAGATCTAGAGACACCTCGGCATTCGAGTTGATCGTGAAGATCCTGGTAGATGGGATGTTGACAGATCGGTAACTCAAAGCGTCGGTCAATCGATTGCCGAATCCAGCATAGAAGGGATTCTCCTTTCCATTGAAGAGGTTCAGAATGTCCCGAAGGCATGCCATCTTGAACACTTCTGGTTTCCTCAGATAAATCTCTCGCCTGAGGGCTGCAATCATCCGGTCGGGACTCGTAATAACGGGACCTTTGGGCAGTCTATATCCGTCCTGGTTAACGCCGTAGATATATGCGCGAGTAGTATCTGCCTGGCCAACAGATCGGCTAGTAAGGTACATAATATTGTAGCCGTTATTGACGATGTCTGTGTATAGTTTAGCTACTCCAGCGTGTGTCCAGTCGCGGCCAATCATATTCAACACATGGCCCAAAGCATCAGATCTACCAGTTATATTAGCCAAAGATGGGCCAAAAATGGTCAGTCTGCTTCATGGTAACTCACTTGGTAATGGTCCCATCAATATCTGATATGACGATCGGTGTGTTTCCGTTCCACAGATACATGGTTGCCGTGCAAGTGGCTCTGTTGACGCTGAATGACATATCATTGGCGCCGGGCTTTAGGTTCAAAGCCTTAAGCTGATCGCTCGTCAGGCGCAAAGTCTTCGCGTAGTTGCGAGTTGTCTCTCCAGGAGTCGGTGACTGTGGAGGGGTAGGGATGCCCGGCTGAATATCAGACTGGGTGCGATGGTGGCGGGCCTGGATCGGCGAGTCACGTACGGACTTGTCGCCGTCACTATGATACCCGGGATCAGAGATAGCGTTGTCACTCATCGCAGAGCCGGGCCTCATTGAGCTAAACGCGGCGCGGCGGTTAGCGGCTTCCTTGGCTTCTTCACTGCTATAGATCCATAGGTTTCCATGCTCGTCAGCTCCTATGAGGGCGCCAATGTCGTAACACCCTTCCAGCTCTTCAGAGAGAATTTTACGCGCAATGACTTCAGCACGGAGAGCGTCCTCCTCGTTGCTTTTGTAGCCCGTCATGTCAAGCATAAGATCGCCCGTCTCGGTCACATGCGAGCGGATATTTGATCCAGAGAGCTTCTTTGACAGAGCTGTTGCACGGGAAACAGCGTCTTCCAGAGACAGCGGGGGAGGACTCCGAGCTCGGGCCAGATCAGGATCATCGGTTGAACCTGCTACGTGCGGGCCATAGGCGTGGTCTGCCACGCTATGCGCTTGGCTCAGGAGAACGTCATCTGAAGCGGCACGGTCCAGCTTCCCCAGCTCTGGTTCATCCCCGAACGAGCCATGGCGAGACCTGCTCGTACTAGAGTCACCTGGCGACCCTGACAAAGGTGTCATTGTTCCTATAGGCTCAACAATGTTAGATCGAACCCATAGTAGGAGTAATATACTTTGCCGCACCTAAATCACTGGATGCCCGCATGCTCCTGGACAGTATGGGAAGACTTTTCGGCTCATTGCCATTTCCATTGGAAGACGATCGATCTAGATCCAGATAGTCGGGTTCCTGGAGAGAGCCCGGGAGATTTTCTTCGCTACGCGTTCTCGGGCTACCCGTCGGCGACACTAATGGCGAGGTCTGTAAGGAAGCGGGGATTTCATCTGACGTCTCAAACACAAAAAAAGCCTCCCCACCCTCCCCTAACTTCATGGAGTAATTTTGCTTGAGCCCATTGACTTTGAATTCCACCTTCAGAGCGCGCGGTCAGATGAATAGCCATTGAATTCGTGATAGATGTATCGTACCTTCTTCTCATAAGGACGGAGCAACGAGAACTTGCCAAAGCGAACGTGAAAAGGAGAACAAGCGAGTGTGCCTGGATGCGACCGTTTAGCAATGATGGGATGAATCAAATGGTGCGCAAGTAAACGAACCATCTTCTTGTTCAATGACGATTACATCAATGGCCCCGCTCAAGGTGGCTGGATTGATAGAATTCCAGGTCTTGGAGACGGAGCCGCTGATACTGCGCACGTACTGCATCCTGCAACGTATGATGGGGAAGACCCCTCGATGATTTCAAACGATCCGTGAAGAAAAAGCGAACGATCAAGTCAAAGGCGGAAAACGAAAAAAGAATGCAAAGGCAGTGATTGAGGGGGTTGTTAGAAGGAATCGGAGGTCGCAGGAATTGCCGCCTACATACGGCCCATGTGACAAAGCCCCAGAGGCATGAACGAATGTAACCGCTGTATAGACAGACTGCTTGCTGCTAAAGCAAACCAAATATGAAACAGGGCCGCTCCCAAGTGAAGCGAATGCAATGTGGCAGTCGGAGAGAAGGACAAGTCGGCCAATTAATTAATAAAAATGGAGCCAGGTCCAAATTGTGGAAGATCTAGATGTTGGCTGTTGGGAGTCCCTCAACGGCCCAACGAGCAAGCCAAGGTCACGGGCTTCTTGCCTCTACAGTTCCTCGGCATCAGCCGGACGGGCGTGGCGCTAACCCACATCCAGCAGACATTTCTTGTCTTGCCTATATGGGGTTAGTGAACTAACTAGTACCGTCATGATCGGCTTAGTCAGGGTTCTGCAGGTGACTAAGATTTTCTCGTGCCCAGTTCGGATGGATCACATGACTATGCCCCACATGACTGCTTCCGCGGATACTCTGTTGGAGATGCACCTTTAGTTGCCGACCGTACTTGACTATTGCCCCGAAAAAAGTGGATTTCGAAGAGGCTGGCTTCTCTCGCCAATCTGTCTGTTTCCCCTCTTCTGTCATACCCGTCTCCATGGGTATCCGACGCTGGGATGTATGAGCCGCTGCATCTCTCTTTTGACGCCTACCCTAGCGTGGTCCCTCGAGTAAGGGTACGAGGTGTCATGGCTCTCTTCCTGGCCGTCACCATTCTCTGGGCCTTGATTTGGTACGTTCCTTCAGCTTCAATATTCGACACCGCTCCCCATCTAACGGTCTTGGCCGAAGGCTATTGTATCGCGCATGGCAAGTCTGTCAGACTCCAAACGATGTCCTAGTGGAAAAACTCGGATTGGACATCCCTCCGCCACCAGAGGTTACACTTGAGGAGATCACCGCCCGTGAGATTCGCATTGCTTGGAAACAACCCGAGTTTCACAACTCAATCCACAAGCACATCATTCAGGTGAATGGATCAAAAGGTAAACTTTTCTCTTTCACCTCCTCTTCTCACCATTGGTGTTCCAGCAAAGGCTGACGGCCATTGTTAGTGGGCGAATCAAAACGAGCAGAAACCGCGGTGGAAATCTTAAATCTGGCACCGGGCAACATATATCATATTTGCGTTCTTTCCGTTAGTGCAGCCAATTTCCAGACGCCTAGTGCTATTATTCACGTGCGGACACAATCTCTTCCTTTATCCCAAGCTCAGCAAAATGCGCCTGTTGGAGGTCCCACTATTCGGGCGTCAGTCCCGCGATCGACTGCCGGTCTCGCAGCTCCCTCGGCTCCCGTCATGTCTCGCGAGCACAGTGGAGGGCAACTACCGACGAAACGATCTTCAGCTGGTCGAAAGCAATCTCCCGCCGCTGGCGGGCCGGAATCCTCCCACGGCAACATAGAAGACTTGCAGAAGAGTGCGACGAATGGTGATCGTGATGAAACGCTCGAAAAACTTGCCGATAGGTTAAAGTCATTGCAGCAGGAAAACGAGAATGTTGAAAAGCAAACCGCCGATGAAGAAGAAGAGCACGTCGCGCTCTTGAAGGAGTTGGAGAAGCAGCGTGACGACTTGAGGAAGCGAGTAAAGGAAAAGGATGAAGCTAGCGGCGACCTAAAGAAACACGTTTATAAGTTGGAAAGCGTCAATCGCACGGTGCAAAGCGAGAAAGCGAAGCGTGAGAGGCTTGTGCAACAGAAGGAGTCTGAGCGCAAGAAGCGCAAGGATGACATTGTGCGATGGCGGGAACGGATCTCACGAATGACAGCCGATGCTGCGCAGGCAAGGGAGGAGAAGGCACGTCTAGAAGAGGATGGGAAGAAGCGTGCGGATGAGGTCCGGGAAAAGATCGCCAAAGAGCAGACAGAGATGAAGGTCATCGACGATGAGATACAGGATAAGGGGGGTCGGATCAAGAAGCTTGAAGAAGAGAGGCAGGGGCATCAGGGTCCAGATAGTGAAGACGGCAAAGAGTTGGATCGAATTGACAACGAGCGTGCTCGACAGTGGGAGATTAAGCTAAGCAACCTACACGCTCGATATGCTACCCTGGTGAATATTCATGCTCAGGTTTGTGACTCCCGAGGACCAACATTTGAGGCAGATACTGACTTGGTGCGCAGGCTCAACAACAATATCAAGAGGCCCAAGAGCGTCTGAAGTGGCTAACAACGCAAGGACCCGGGAGCACGGGGCCCTTTACTCTGCCTGCCCTAGACCTGGACCTATCCAACACAGCGACCATCCGCCCACGTCGTCATCGCAGTTCTCTGACCAGCAATGTTTCGTCCCCTATGAATTTCACGGCCATGGAACCTTCGTTCTCGGGTGGTATCAATTACAACCCCCCTTCCACAAGCTCGCCTACCTTTGGACCCAGCTCCGCTTTCTTCAATATCAACAATGGAATGACCATTCCAGGCTTGTCAAGTCAGGCCGCCGATGCCATTTCCGAACTCTCGTTTAGCAATCCTCAAATGAGCCCCCGGGCTGACGCGTTGCTTCCGTCCGACCTCCTTGGAGATGAAGAGCCACCAGAGCTTCCCCGGCCAATCGTGCGACCTGTAATGTCCGATGTTGAGCAGTCGAGTGGCCAACTTGAAGGTTTCCCACAAGGTCCGCCATCGCCAGAGTCTTCCGAGAGCAGGCCTGGAAGTATCTTTGCTAGTCCGCATGAGAATCAGAACCAGGAGCCTGACTCTCAGCCCATACGCCTAGGAGATGCCGCAGAGGCTCCGAAAAGTGCCTCGCGGCGACTCTCTGGTCTGTTCGGCTTCCATCGTCTCGCGGTAAAACGCTCGCAGATGAACCGCCTTTACTAGGCACTCTGAAGCCAGGACAAAGTCAGTCTTTTCCACGGAATCTGGACGAAATGGATCCCATCGGTGCCAGGCGCCGCCGCCTGAGCTATACAGGAAACTGGGCCAATCCGATGTCATTGTTCCCAAGGAGCAACACCACGGGTGTCACCGCCGATAGTTCTTCCGATCATATGCCGTCCCGACGGGCCGCTTTGACCAGCATCTTCTCCCCCAGCAGGTTTGGATTCGGCAGTGGGAGCAGTCTGATGAAGTCCGGCGAACATTCTGATCTTAGCACTGGATATAATCAATTTAGTCCTAGACATGATCCGATCGACCCCTCGTCAATTCTCGGTACTGTGCGACGGGGCTCGTTGTCGCCAAGGCCATCGTCCACGTTTTCCTTTGAGAATCAACTTCCCCATCCATCCACAGACAATCAACATTTCGGCTGGCCGTCGGCAGAGAAACCGGGCCATAGAAGCCCTCTAGGATTCAGTTGGGCTTCGCCATCGACTTGGTCAAGAGCCCAATCACGCCGGCAGTCTACTTCGTATGGCTCCTCCGGCCACTTGCCTCTGGGACTCACAGGGGAACCTGATTTCCTTGAAGACTCTTCTTTTGAAAGACTTGGACGACCATTACAGGCGCCCATTGGTACGAGACCATCATCTTCGCATCGGCCCATAACTCCGAAACTGAACCCCACTGCGCCCACCTTCAAGACCGTTTTTACCAAGGGTTCGGAGAAGGGTAAGGATAAGGATGGGGAAATGGAGATAGACAATGGGGCAGATACCTCATTTGAGTTTCTTATGGACGATGGATCACCGTCTGAGCCTCGTACCTCTAAGGAATCTTATTCCCGCTCTCTGACTGCCTTTACTGGGGATTCGTATGAATCTCTGGAACAGTTTCCTTCCGCGGCTTCTGCGGATAATAGTAGCTCGAAAGAGTCATTCATCCGGAAAATCACGCGGAAGGGCAGCTCGGGCAAGTTCAGCTCGTGGAAAGACCGCTCAGGCCTGTTCTCGAAGAAGGGGGATAGCAGCCAGGGTGATATCGAAGAAGACGGCAATGGCGAATCACTGCTCGCAAAGAGCGTGGACAGCACTGTCTCCAGCGCTCCATCCGCGGACAGGTCGACCAGGAGCAGCCTTGGATTCTTCAGTCGCAAATCTAAGAAGGCGGATAAAGCGGCCAGTGAAACAAGTGAACGGCCTAGTGAACAAGCCAGCGAAACAGGCGGCGAGGAACATTCAGAGGATATTCATACATGATAGTACTCTTATTGTCACTGGTTATAGAGAGTGGGGGTTCCGCTGATTGAAAGACTTCGCAGCGTCTTTGCACAATTTCATTAGATATAAAACATAGGATAGTAATCTTTCTTGGATGGCATATGCATGATCCCCGGTTGTTTCATCTTAGATATATTTCAGTCGTTCAAATTCTTTCTCGTTTAATCAACATATATTGAGTTGCCGACAAGAAAAGTGCAGTCTTTCCGAAACTTAGTACTCGTTTAGTAATAAAAAAATACCAATAATATTTCGACGTGTGTGTCTAGGTGTAGATATAGATATATATATATACACTTACGAGTCTTGAATCTGGGGTTGGGTGCCACTCATACCCGTCGGTTAAAGTGGCTTCCGCACAACTTCATTCATGTCGCCGTTCTTTTTCTCTGATCCATCACATATTATACATACAAGCAGTTTTGTAGTAAATCCAAATAAATGGCGAACTCAAAGTATGCCCTTCCACTGGGTCCCTCATTATTTCCATGGATATAACATGACTAATTTAAATAACAGGTACGAGTATGTCAAAGCCTTCGAGCAGCCAGACGTTTTACTCCCCAATACTTGGATTGTAGTCCGCATCGATGGCAGGGGTTTCCACAAGTTAGTAGCTATTCTCCCCCATTTTTTCCTCTATGAGAAAGAAAAGGAGGAAAAACAAATTGGGTTTGCCCTTTTCTCTCTGCGAATCTATCTCTGAGATTTGATTCTGATTTTTTTTCTTTGTCATGGATCGCACTCATATACTCCGGTACTAAACTATCCTCAGACTTACCGACCGCTATAACTTCAAGAAACCAAACGACCGCCGCGCGCTGGATCTGATGAATGCTGCGGCCGTTGAGGTAATGAAAGATCTTCCGGACCTGTGCATTGCATATGGCGTCAGCGACGAGTATAGGTCTGTCCCCTGGCCCACGCCGCGCTCTACTTACAACGACACTAACCTATATCAGCTTCGTATTCCATCCAAGCTGCCAGTTATTCGAGCGGCGGAGTGCGTAAGTTATGCAACATTCCCAGCTATCCACGGCCCAGTCAAGGAGGCTTAGGCTTACATGATAACAGCAAGCTTGTAACGACCATTGTATCTACATTCACAGCCCATTATGTGTACCTATGGGGAACGTACTTCCCCGATAGCCCGCTTGAGCCTCCATATTTGCCTTCCTTTGATGGAAGAGCAGTCATGTATCCCGCTACTAGGAACCTGCGTGACTATATGAGCTGGAGGCAGGTGGATTGTGAGTTTACTGCGTGCCCCTCGTTTGTGAAGAATTAACTCACAGCCCTACTCGAAGGCCATATCAATAACCTTTATAACACAACTTTCTGGACCATGGTCCAGCAGGGCGGCATGAGTAACACGGATGCTGAACAAGAGTTGAAGGTGAGAAGTTCATGCTGTCTTTCTTCTCCTCCGGGGGCTAATGGTTGGCTCCAATCATAGGGGACAGTATCGTCGGACAAGAATGAGATCCTCTTCAAGAGATTCGGGATTAATTATAACAATGAGGAGGAGATATACAAGAAGGGAAGTGTGCTTTATCGTCAAGTAAGTTGATCAACATTTACATATCAGGAACCGATACACTGATACGGCCTGCAGTACCAACTAGAGGACATCAAGCCAAAGTCAGAGCCTAATCCAGGAGTGCTGGCAGAGGAGGAAGGCAATTATGTCCAAGAAGCGAAGACCTCCAGATCGCAACAGGACAAGCTTCGTAAATTGCGCCGAAAGGCACAAGTTGTCGTTGACCATGTCGACATCATCAAAGATGAATTCTGGGAGAGGAGGCCGTGGATTCTATCAGGAAAGCCGGGTAAATTGCCCACAGAGGCCTAAGTTACGATTTATGGGTAAAAGGATATCAAATTCAGACGTGACACGATATATAATATAATCTTCATAAAGACCGCAGTAGCTGTAGCAAATGGGTATCTATCTATGTACGGCTGTGAGCAAAAATATGATATCCTAAAAAAGTAAATCTACCTCTAGTCAGCTCACTCCTTTTTCGACTTTTTGGCATCTTTCGACTTCTTCGATTTTGACTTCGAGCCATCTTCGAGTGTTGATTCCTCGCTCTTCTTCCTCTTTTTGCTTTCCTTGTCCTTCTCTTTCTCCTTCTTTTCCTTTTTCTCTTTCTTCTTCGCCGCTTTTTCAGAGGAGTCTTCGCGTCCACTAGACTCTGTCGGGTCGTTCTCGATCGATATCGGAGTAGGATAGTCCTCTTCCGGGTTATGTTCTTCCTTCGCCTTCTTGCTCTTGCGTGTGGCTTTTTCATTCTCATCAGCAGTGCTCTCCTCCGCCTTCTTAGCCTTTTTCAGCTTCTTCTTCAATTCCTTTGCCTCCTTCTTCCTCCTCTTCTCTTCCTTCCGTTGGCGCCTCTCCTCCTTGCTCTCCTTCCGATCCTTAGAATCCCGATCACTGCGCGACACAGTAGAATCCTCCCCCTCCTCAACCTTCTTCCTCTTGCGCTCCTCCTTCCTCAACTTCTTCGCCTCTCGATCCTCGTCCCCATCCACATCATCCTTCTTCCTCTTCTTAGACTCCGCCTTGGACTCGGAGCCCTTCTTCTTCTCCTCATCCTTCGACCCAAGCGTCCCCGGAACAACCTCCCCCCTCACAAAGTGCCGATAAAGCTCACTCGTCAACGCATTCGGCTTCTTCTCCGCCCCAGCATTATTCTCATTCCCAACACCCTTCAGCGCATCCTCGAATCCGCGCAACCACCACTGGTTCGTCGGGTCTTTGGTTGTCGTCTGCCCGACGCCGAGATTGCCTTTGCGTCGCGAGACGAGAATCGGTTTCGTGAGGCCGAGGCCAGCGTGTGTGCCTGGGCGGCGATTGGGGTTGAGTGGGTTGCCGGGGCCCGACCAGCCGTGGCGGATTAGGTAGGCTTGTGCGTCCATTTTCTTTTGTACTTGTTCTTGGGGTGCTGAATTCGGTGGTGTGGGTTGAGCGATTGGTACGTGTGGTGGTTTATATAGAGGTTTTGTTGGAGTGGATATAGTTTTGTTCCTGTTGCGATGTGATTTTCAGGTATAGGTGCTGATAAGAGGGAGCGACAGGACAGTGGACTATGGGGACATGACCCGAGTCACGATATAATTAATTTCAGAAGATACCCCTGTGAAAAAAAAAAGAGAGAATAAGGAAGGGGGAAAAGTTGAGTGAAGACAACGACACCAGAAGAAAGAGAAACGAGATCCAGGACAAGAAAAAAAAATTCCTCCGCAAAGAGATAAGGATTTCGGATCGGGGTATCTTATGCTTGTCCAGCCCATGTTAGACATATTTTCACTCGATCTGATAAGAAGTCAGTTGCGTGGTCTAATGGTTATGATTTCTCATTCACATTCGGTTGTTTACTGAGAAGGTTCCCGGTTCGATCCCGGGCGCGACTACTTTTTTTGCTCTTTGCCGTCTAGACATGTGGGTTGCATTTTGCTCATCTACTACTACTAGTAGTATGTCACGAGCTATTTTTCTACTTCATGCAGTCATCTACTCCTTTTTCTTTTTCTTTTTCTTTTTTGTGGGCCTCGTACTACGCGTAACCTAGTAGGCCACCTACATAATTCATTCACACTTAAAATCCCTCATTACAACCCAGCTGCAACATAGTTTGTACCTTCTCTCGTATAAGGCTACCGCTCGGAGTTTTCTTCCGCGCAGATATATATTCACCAACCAAGGCCGACCGCCCCCACGTAGAGCACAAACCAACGTAGCAATCGCAGTGGGCATTCCCTCATGCGATTGAACTTAATTCCGCGGCCTAAGTGGTTCATCGGCTGACCGCATCCTTGCCCAAGTGGGCTGCGTAAACATTGGGAATCCGCAAGCCTCGGCGCAAGACGGGCTGGGGAATGGAGAACTAGAAAAAATTTTTCTTCTGAGGTATGCAGGGCCATGGTACGTGCGCGATTTCTGCATCTGCATACAGCGTATGAATGGGGAGGGGTTGTGTTGGTAGTAAATAGATTGCGACTGTCAGCAGAAAAGATCTGATATCCGGCTAACTATATGGGATTTGATATAGGGCAGGGGTTGGGTGGAATATCGGGCCATCCCGCTTGCAGTAAATGGTGAACTTATGCTCAGTGCTACTAGGAAGTCCGATCCTTGCGGAGGACGGACTTGGAGGGGTGCAGGTCAGGGTTGTACAGATCCCTGCCGGCGCAGAAGAAGGGTGGATTGAAAATACGCTGGTACGACGAGTGGGTTTGAAACATACGGCAAGACCGGCACAACATGACAGCATCCGTATTGCCAAGGCCACGTATTTTTACATTCTATCGTGGCGGACGTGGTAATGAAACGAATGAGGCCCTAATTTAATAGGGTTTGAACCGTCCCTTATCCTTATTCTTTTTCGGCCGCGCAGTCTTGTTTGAGGAATCATCGCCCTGCGCCTCTCCGGACTCCGGCTTCCATGCGCGGACGAATCCGTCTTCACCGCAGGTAAATACTGATTGGGACTGCGATCGACGTTAGTTGCTGATCAAATAGGGGTGTTGGCAAGGGGGCATACCTGTTCGTCCAGATAGATGGAACGTACAACCTCCTCGCCGTGAGCGCCAGGAAGACGCCACAGGTTCTCTTGGTCGAATTGCCAAGATGGGTTTGAGGTAAGAGGGACCAAGTCCAGGCGTCTCTCCCTGGACATTGTTAGCGCACGAAGCATACACAGATAAGGAATTAAGTAGTAAAGGCCAGAAAAAAAAATTAGAACAAAACCAAACTAACATTTTATGGCCAGCGGCAATATAGGGGCCCTGACTGCCAATGCATAACTGAGCAATGTATTCACAGCCTAGGGGCTGTCTTAGGTCTCCGAATTGCACAGGATTAGGCTCCTGCGCCTCTTCTTCCGGATCCGTAGCCGGGTGAATCGAGAACACTTCATCGTGACTGAGAGCGTAGATGGTCCTCTCGCTTAAGAACCCGGCGTGATGTACTGAGCCATGGTTGATAACTTGTACAAGAGCCTCGTCTTCGTCTGTAATATCGGTGTTATAGACGTTGACTAGACCATCCGTGCTTCCGGAAAGCACGATATTGTTCCTCGTCGGGTGATATTGGAGCTGCCAATCATCAAGAAAGTTTGTCAGGGGAAAGTATAACCACGGCACAGGAGTGAGCCTACCTCAGTGACATCGTCATTGTGGCTTTCAACGTACTGAAGTCGAGATTGACCCGGGGATCTGACATCCCTGTTACGTCAGTTAGCAGCTCGTGAATTGGAGATGCGGGCGTGAGACCACCACCTAGAATTCAACCATTGATGTGTGGCTTTACCCATATGGAATGCAACGGACTCACCAAAAAGCAACCACGGCCTGAGAAGAAACAAGTTCAGTGCCGGCTACGAGACTGTTCGTTGCAGGACAACAGGCTATAGATAGAACCGGCGCGTCTCTTGCTGTTAAAAAATTAGTTGACTGTACGACTGCATCATAAGTTCCGAATGATTGGCGTTGGCCAACACATCAAGATTCATCCATGTTTGTTGCCAGAAAAAGTGCTCCTCAAAAAGCAGTGCGACCTTGTCCGCGGCCGTAACATTGCCAAGCAGTAGGTAGCAAGGAAAAGGAGGGGGAAATAGAAGAACAAGGGAGGGTGGGAAAGAAAGCAGGGAATCTTACATGTCTCCACCTCTACAACTGCCGACCTCTTGCCATTTCGCAGATCCCAAAGCTTCACCCTCCCGTCTCTTCCTCCAGTAGCAAGCAGTTGCCGACCCGCATCATACGATTTCAGCGACGTGACTCCCTTGTGGGCGTCGGCAGCCACCACAGAGACATGGCTAAGGCTAGCGGCATCAAACACACGCAGGGAGTCGTCCGACGCAATGGCTGCGAATGAGCCTGGGCTTGATGAAGCAATGGAGTAGATGTAATTGTCCTGAGCGAGTGAAAGCGAGGAAGATGCCGTAGCTTTGAGTGTATGCATGGCTGAACAATGATCGTCTAGTATAACAAAATGGAACCCTCCTGTCCTGTCCTCTCTTAGGGCAAATTGCCACTTCACCAATTACAGGCACTGAAGTCTCAGCCTCAGAGGAATCGATAGATAGCCCCGCAAGAGCAGAACGCAATGCGTGTTTTACTGACTTAGTTATCGGCCGAAGATTGTCTGTTCCGTTCGTCCCACAGGTCGGTGGCTGCCGGAGGGGTCTCGATATCAAGCCAGACGGGAAAGTTCTTGCTAAAACCAACA